TGCCGAATTACAGTTTACAGCTACAAGGTCTAGGTGAGCTGTTTTTGATTGTGGGTCCTGTACAAACCACAGGCACCTGCATGTAAACGCACACATACAAAGCACCAGCAAAGCCCTGGCCAAAGCCTCCTTCTCCTGTTGTCTGTGTACTGTGCCACCTAGTGGTCACTCGGAGTATTGCTTCTTCCCGTGGTGCATTTAACCTCGACACCTGCGGTAGTTTTCCTGTGCGTGATCCCTTTGCTCCCTCTGGTCTTGTGGATCAACTGTTTAACACTCAAAAAGGTGCATAAAGAAAGTATTTTGTACGTCAGAGTCCAACATTAGAAGCGTAGTCTCAGTATTTTGTGAATGTTGTTGAATTGTCATCTGACAGTTTGAAAAGTTGGTGAATGTGTCTGTCTGCTCTGAATAGTAAGTCAGTCCCAGTAAAGCTAAACTTTACAGGCCATACCTGTGTGACAGTATTGTATGCCTCATGTTGGTATAAGTTTGTATCGCTCTTTGAAACTTTCTTTGGTAAACTGAAGCAGGCCTTTCTCAAGGAGTCCATTATTTCTTTATGGCATTTCAAGTGTTTTTTCAATGTCATGCAGAAACAAGAAAATCCTTCATAATGTATGTTAATGGTGTCAGATAGTGTTTAAACTTGCAACAAACCACAGCTTTGAACAAATTAGTTGATTGTTTAGTGATAAGTGGTTTATTTTTGGGCCTTATTATGTTTACAGAAGTGACTGTTTCACTTGTATACATTGGGATGTTGTAGCTGTAACAATATTTTGTTCTTCCCAGCAGTTTTTGGTCTGTCTTAGCAGCTTTCTGTCAGTCATGTCTGCCATATGCCAGTTAACTTGCCTACCTGTCTGTCCAAGAGCCCCGTTGTTTTCTTATGCTCCTTTGTCCCGTCTCTCTGCCTGTCGGGGCTGTTGTTCATCGGTGCGTCAACATGTTTTGTCCGTCTGTCTGTCCGCCTGTCTCCCAACCTGTCTGTCTCTTATTTATTTATTTATTGTCTTAGCTGTCTCTCTGGTATTCAGTGTTGGTTGGAGGCCCGGCTGCCGAGCTTCACTGTAAAGTGCTTGGCTGATTGGAAGGGACATTTTTCCAATGGCGCAGCGCTGCCTCTAATATTCTGTTTGTCGTTGGGTGTGAGGCTGATTTATCACGCCTCCTCTCCTGCTGACATTCAGATTCACTTTGATTGGCGGCTGGACGGACTGACACCCACCACTACCAACACCGCTAACGTCACTACGGCACACATGCACAAACACACACAGCCAAATGCTCTGCGTGCTCACAGGCAGCCATGCAGTGGATATGAATATGCCTATTCCGCCAACACATTCCCACTTACATTTAGACATTAAGACATGCACTCGCATACATATACTCACTTATAAACTTGCACAAACACACACAGACTAAGTGGATAACTGCTGTGCTGAACTCTGTCTTCAGCATGCTAGTTTGTAAGTGCTGTATTGAGTTTATTGAACAACGTGGGCAGACTACTGCTCTTTTGTTGTTCTCTCACCTCTTTAATATGATAGCCTTTCTCACTTCTATACTCACTTACTGTACACGGCCTAAGGCCCAAGCTACCACACTCTTGCGTTGAATAACCGCCACCCCCCACCCCCCCATCCCTCCTTAATAACTCTATAACTCACCTCAGCCTTAGATTTAATTGCTTATCTGTGTGTAAACGTATTAACCCTCTGCTGTATCTGTTTTGCTGCCGTCCCGGGGGCCTGACAAGCCTCTCCGACTGCCGTGCCTTACATCCAATGAATAGTCCTTCTCTGAGCGGTAATAGGGAATCAGCATCGTAGCAGCAAGCATTGGCGGCGTGTAAGAGATAAATCAGATTGGGGGTCTTGCTTTGCCAGTTTATTGAATCTAAATTGCATGCGCGCTTGGCCCCCGCCGGCCCTACACGGCCCATCCATCTCCCGGCTGATAATGGAGCGGGCCCGATTCCACCTGGTGGGAGCATTATTACATTTCCCCTCTAACGAGACCCAGCTAATCCTGCCAAGGGAGGAGGACAGAAGAGAAAAGAGAGGAGGAACGAAGAGAATAGGAGAGGAGAAGAGAGGAGTGGAGGAAAATGTTGGGGGAGGTGGAGGAGGAGAAGAAAGGAGGAAAACGAAGGGAGGAGAAAAGAGATAGACGAGGAGATTCTGTTAAAATAAAAAGATCCATCCTGGCAGCCTGCCTCTACCTCCCACTCTCCCTCTTTCTCTCTTTCTCACTTTCTTCCTCTCTGTTGCTGCGAATAAAACATCTTCCAGCGCCATCAGAGCTACATGGCCCCTGGGCCCCTGAGCTGCAATTACACTCATAATCACAATGCGATTTCACTGACGCTCTCCGCCCCTTCCCACTGCCATCCCTCCTCTTTCCCTCCGCCCCTGCAGCCAAGACTGAACGAAGTCTAAATGAAGTGAAAGGCCTCTCCTCTCCCCAACACCCGGCCGTTTATTACCCGCTTTAATAAAAGTCCATCACAGAATTATCCTACAATGAACTGGAGCCTCTAAGTTGCCAAGAAATATACTTCCAATAAGTGGTCTCTGCACACAAACATGCCTATATGGGTACAGTTGTTAATTCTTTTTATATGCTTTTTACGGCTGTAACGTTAACAGGCTTTTCATGATAGTGCAGCAAAGTATGTTGCTTTAATGTATTTTTTTGTATTTAATCTTTTTTAAAGCAGAGCTTCTTATTGATGTAATTAAATCATATCCCTGGCTCAGCGCTCAGGCCTACTTTCATTGTTTTGAGGGGGCAGGAGCCCCGTGAGGCAGTGCACTGATGAGAGATGGATAAACAGTTTGATTTGCTGCTATCGCCCCCAGGCACAGTGTACTGGAGAGATGAGCAAGAGAAGGAAGAGAAAGCATTAAAAATGGGGAGGGGTGGGATAGGGCAAAACAGAAGGAGAGAAGCGAGCGAGAGGATAAGAGAACCTGTTGGGGGAGGGATGAAGGGATAGAGGTGGAGGATAAAGATGCGAAGAAAAAGAGGCGACAAATCACTCCTGTTGTTTGTGTACATGTTTGCGTGTGCGCAGGCAAAGCTTTTTCTCTTATTTTTACTTGTTTGTCTGTCTGTTTCTCTTGCTGTTTTAGTTCTTCCTTTATCCTACATGGCCCCCATCTATCCGTCTAGCTCCCTTTCCCTTTCTTCTCTCCTCTTTCTCCCCGTCTGCCTTCCACTCCATCACACCACCAATACGGCTCCGTCTCCTACCTGCCTCTCGGTAGCCCCGAGCAAAGAGTGAACTGAAGAACACAGAGAAGTTCATTCACACACACACACACACACACACACACACACACAAAACACACATGCACATACAGGTGTGCAAAACACAAATTCACATCTGTGCATACAAACGAGAAAACTTGTGACTGTAGTTGTGAAAAGATGCAAGATGGTGCAGACCGTGGTTTGATTTTTTGGCACATTTGTACAGAGACGAATTTACTGAATTATGACTGTGTTAGCTAAGAGAAATAGATTGCCTGTGTTGATTTTGGTGAGGATTGCTCCCACAGACACACACACACATGCGCGCACACACACACACACACACACACACACACACACACACACACACACACACACACACTAGCTGAGGGAGGTAGAGGAGGGTTCAGTCATCCATGTAGAGTCATTGTTAGTAAAGATGCGGAACCTCCAGACTTAACCAGCCGTAACAGCAGTGTGACGGGTTCTTTGTCTACGCCAATTACTGAACAAAAACAGCAGTGCAGTCACAGAGAGACTAGCACAACCCATGGCCTCCTGCATCCAAACACATACGCTCACACAAACACACACACACTCACGGATGTATGAGTTGTATTTTTATGTAACATATTTACTCTCAATACAAACTCTTAACACACAAAGACTCAAAATGAGGCACGTGCACCAAACACACATGCATGCGCAGGCATCTCAAGCGGTGCAATAAACCACATTTGGACACCCACAGCTGTGCCCTAACACAAACACGCTGTAAGCGCTCACACTTACACCCACTCTTATATTGTATTAACTTCCCCAAAACTGTGCAGTGCTCTCATTCTCTTCCTCCCCCTTCTCTCTCGTCTGCTCACTCTCTTCTTCTTCTTCTGTTTCCCTCCCTCTTTTTTTTTTTCTCAAAGTTTAAACTCATTAAGTGTAATGATATTGGAGACTCAATTTTACATAGCTCACTCATCAACCAAGTGAGATAGCAATAAAGGCGAATGGCTCCGCTGAGGCCCTAACGCTGCAAAATAAATGATGCGCCGCAACGGAAATGTAATTAATTTAGAGGCAGTATTGATAGTCCTGCCATACACGGCATTATATTTTTTAATGTGGCTTAACATCTTGATTATTCAGGGGGAAAGGTGGAGGAAAAGGGAGCTGAGACAACATGGTTCATGATGAGACATGCTTAAAATGCCCTGACGAGTGTTTACTCCGGCTGCCTCACTTTCTCTTAAGCTTTTCATTACACCGAGACGATAAACACCTCTCAGGAAGAAGCGCTGACTTTTAAAGGGATATGAAGAAAAAGCAGAGAAGGTGCTGCCTTGAAGGGAGAGTAGAAGAATGCATCATTCATATTTTTGTTGATTTTTTTTTCTGCGCTTACTGTTCATTCATTGTGATGGGTCCTCTGATAATTTTCTGCATACTTTGCAATGAGTATCAATTTGTTTCAAAACACAGTATCTTCCACAGATAAAAATATGTAGTTTTGCAAAATGGAATACTGAAAAATCTAATCAAATTTAAAGAAAGAGTAAATCAATGTTTTTTTTGTCAGTCTAGTTATATAATCATATACAATATTTTCTTAACTAGTTGTAAATTCCTTAATACCTAAATTGATCCTTTAAATTATATCGATATTTCCTACAATAGAACCATGATGAGGTGTTTCTGGGGATTTGCTTTGCTTCTAACTCTGCTGTCTTTCTTTTCAGCTAAGACCGATGAGGTGCTGAAGGCCAAAGTAGCCAAGAGAGAGGAGGAGGCCCGGAAGAAACTCGAAGAAGGTAAGCAATAATTGGGTGCTTTTTTTTCTTCTTTTTTTTCTTTTATCTGCGGTGTGTCCAAAATGTTGACTTTGGCATCGATGCCAAACCAATTTTAACAATACTGAACTCACAATACAGTAACAAAGAAAACAAAAAGCAAAGCATAAACCATGAAATCTGACAAATATTGCAATATTAAAGTTGTTGGCAAGATAACAGTTGAAACAATGAAATAATTCAAGTGAGCTTTGTTTCATATTTTTTTCTCCATCATCAAAAAGCCATCAATAATAACTTTGAGGACTGGGAACGCAAAATTCAAAAAATATTGTGGGCTGTTAGACATCTGTTGCAGAACTTCTGTTTTCCCCATAATTGAAACGTGGAGTAACAGAGTGAAGTGCAAGAACAGAAAATATGCTCCTGTTTCTTATGTCAGGTAATCCCTACACGCTCCGTAACATCAGTGAATTTACACAATTTTACTCTTTTAATATGTTTACATTAACAGATTAACAACCCAACGTCTTGTACACATGACAATTCTGCTTTCACAGCTCATATATACTTTGCAAAACATGAACTCAGAGATGCTGATTACGCTCCTTAGTTTTTATTGAGACAGCTGTAATCTACATAAAAATGCAAGCAGAAAGGCAGAAATGTGCTTAGCATTGCAAGCAATAAATTTAACCTGATATCCCCGCTACCGCTGTAGGACATGGAGACACGCACACACACATGCACACACAGATTATCTCGATACACATTCAAATAAAGTCAAGAGTAATTTGCAGTGGATATGCTAACAGTAATAAAAGTCCTCAGATAGAATAATGACCCCAGTCCCTTTCTGACCAGAGTGTGATATAAATGAGAATATCAAATGTGCTGTTATCGGCACACTGCCTGTGTCTGTGTACATGCATGCGCTGGCATGTGTAGTCATGTCATTTGTTCTGGTGTGGGTGTTTTTATATTGCCAGACTCTCCCGTTTCCGTTTTTTTGTGTAATTTCTTGCGTTTGCATCGAGGATGCGCAGCAGCGTGACCTTTAAAGTTAGTTGACCTTTTAGCCAAATGAAAGTCCAGCCATCAGAAACTAATTAGCCTTGCACTTTTGCTTTAGTTCCCCAGTTCTGGGAAGAATTGATTCCCTCCTTCTCTCTATTGCACCCTGTTGTGTTTTTGTTTTGTTTTTTGTTGTTTTTTGTTTTTTTTGTCCCAGCCCTTCCACCATTCTCACATTAATAGTATTCATTTTTCTTGGTCTTACTGCTCTACTTTCCTACCCTTTCTGTTTTCTCCTAGTTTCTGTCTCACATACTCCCTTTCTTCCCACTTCCATTTGTCCTCTTCAACTATTTGCACCTCTCTCCAGCTCTCCTCTCTGTGTCTTTCTTACTCTCTCTCCTCTCATCTCTGTGTGGAAGCATTGCCAAAGTGGTGACTAAGTGCCTTGCTTGGGGCAACAGATCAAGGCTCCCAGTCAAATAGCTTTCTTAAGCAAAGTTCACACTGCACTGTTGCCTCTTTTTGGAATCAGTTGACTCTTTCTCCCCTTTGCTCAAAGCTCCCTCTTCCCTCACTCCAACTGTTCATTCTGTGTGGAAAAAAAAGGTGTTGTGCTTGATTGTGTAGTGGAGCGGCGCAGCAAGGCATGCTGTGCAGGCACTGCCTTCGAGGATGATCATTTTATTCTTTTCCCTGCACAGGGACGCATGAAGTGAGATCAGAGAGGCACGACAAAGTGGCCCTGATGACTCGCCCTTGCCTAGGTAGCAAGAGGAGCCAGTGGCACCGTCACAAATACACATGAACACACGTACACACCAGCAGAGTCAGCTAGCTCCATCCTCTTCTGCCCTTCCTCCCAGCACAACTAAAATGGAGGAGGTGGGCCACTGCTGCTGCTAAACAGCAGATCACCAGGGGTCTCCTTATTCCCTGCAGGGCCTCTCAGAGGTCAACACAACTAGAAAGTTTACACTTGAACCGTTAAGTCAACTGAAATGAGAAAACCTTTTAAAGAGAATGGAGGGGAGAAGTGAAGAACACTACCACCTACACTCCTCGTTCATAAATAGATTCACATCCTAGACTGGCAATGTGTTTGAGTTAGTTTAGCCCTAATCGAAACCACCGAGATCTGATTCATGTGGATGCTATGATATGCAAGCTATTATTGTAGCGAACTGTGGCTGCATACTGCGGAGCCCTGAGAGAAGAGAGGGGTTTTTATCAGCAGGGTTTACTGAGAGAGAGGAAGGAGAGGATCAATAACTGGCCCTGTGGTCATCAGTTAACAAAGTAGTCTCCACTTAAAAGGAGTGTTTGGCTCTCTGGTTAAGGGCAGCCAGATGATGCTAGCGGTTGAAAAAGGAAACATATGATATGAAAGGGTGTGAGAATGAGAGGGGTGGATGAGTCCTTTGTTAGTTGCATGCCTTGTTTAGGCTATTAAAGCTGAGAGATGTTGTTTGTTTGCCCAGGGGGCTTTTAGCTAACGTGGTGAGTCCAGCTATAATAAGATGGACTGACTGCCAGTGTAACACAGTCTGTTTGTGTGGACTCTACTGTCAGCTGGCACTTCACTGAAGGCAGCGTATAACAAGAGTCACTGTGTGCACGGCTTGGCAAAATAAACCAAATTACAACCGTTATGAATCTATTACTGTCCTAAACTTGCACATCTTGGTCTTTACTTGTCGAGAGTGTTTTATTTTTTCTACAGGTGCCTGCTTTGTTCCCTTTTTTTGCAACATTTAGTTACATTGCAATTAAATACAGAAACCACTGATATCTCACCTGAAGTTTAGCTAATCAGTCCATGCAGTAATGTTTGACCAGTAGTGTAATTTAACTGAAAAAATATGTGAGAGAAAAATATATAGGGTTACAGCTTTTTATTTCCATTACTAATCAGTTCACCAGTTATTTTTGTTTTTAGTTTAAAATGTCCAAAAAAAAGTTTTTTTGGTTGTTGTTTTTTCCCCCAGAAGTTATTGTTATCTGCACATTCACATTATTTGCTTTACTTGTTTTACGCACTCAACATAGTGAGTTGATTATCATATATGACAAGGAAAAGGATCAAAACGTCACACTAACATAATAATTGATGATCAAAATGCTTTCCAATGAATTAACTACTTTTTCTGTTGATGCAATGATCAATTTATTTTAGTTGTTTGTAGTTTACTTCAAATACGATCACTTGTACAGAGGTTTTGCGATACGGGAACAACTGTTTACTGGTACAGTCTGTGAAGGTGTTTCCTCTCAATCCAAGAGAGAATGGCAAAGATTGATGGCGAGAATTTAAAATATGATGAGAAAGCCTCCGTTGCAATTAAGTTTGTCATCAATCTGGGCCTCATTTGGCTTTATTAAGACCTTATGATAATTTCTGCTTGTCTTCAGAGGCGTAAGAGTTAAAGAAAAGGGTAACTTATCAACCAGTTGGCATAAAAAAAAATTGGTGTCAAATGCTTGATAACCCCATTTCACGCCAACGTACACCCTAAACACTCTCTCTCTCGACACTGTCTGCCCAGTAAAATCTGGGGCCTGCGTGTCATTTATGAGCTCCTGACAGAAACATATTTTCATTTATGCAGCCGTTCTCCAACATACAGAATTATGTAGATATGGATTGGACACTAGCCTATAGCCTGCAGATGGTATTTTAGCCTCGAACCTGATCTGTCCCCATTACCTCAAACCACCACCAGATTGGGAGATCATATATTTTAATGAGACGTATAATAGCTCTTTAACCCATATCATTAGGGGAATATATACCTACCGTTTGCTCTTTTGGCAGTTAAACGAAAGGACTGTTTCCCTAATTACGCGGTGTGTAGGACAGGTCACGGGTTGGGTGTGTACCTGTCTGTGTGTGTGTCTGTGTTCAGGAATTATATGACCATTAAATATTCAACCGCAGGCCCCCCTCCAGCCCCAGCTCCCCCTCCACCCACCCACCCTTCTTCCTCCTCCTCCTCGACCCAGCATCCATTAACGCCTCATCACCGTTTAACTAGCTCTGTTGTCAATCACCACAGGGCCTCGGCTGAAACAGAAAATGTCTGGATTTGGTTTCCTGCCTCACTTGTTCAACATATAGAAAAAAAAAGAGAGAGTGAAGGATACCTCAAGCCAAGGGCAATCAATATAAGTGAAATATCATTAAGGTTGAAGGTGCATGCACCATCATTTGTTAGAAATAATATTTCTCTTGTTACATATGATTGCATGCTCTGCCAAACAATTTGTCGGTCAGCTAAAATTTCAGCTCTGCACACGAGTGTTTGCGTGCAATGCCGGTGTGGGTGTGTGTGTGTGTCTGTAATAAATGATGTGGTCCCTTTTCTAATTGAAAATAATAACTAATCCACGGATAACAAGCTCTTGTATAATCCAAAGCCATATCCCTTCAGTTCTTGCCTATCTCGGCTGTAATAAAAGACAGGAAATGAGAGGCAAGTGAGAGTGGTGGCTTGGACATTGACGCTTAATGTAATCTGCCTTGAAATCAAATTATTTGACCTGGAAAGCCTAACAATACAAAACTCCTGCCAGGCTGCTGTTAAATATTTAGCACGTGCCTGTCATGAATACAAATGGTGCACAAATTAGAATCTACAGGCGCGTGACCCCCATATCACACCCCAGGAGCACGGGGGGCTGGCTCTGCTTTAAATGTTTTAATTACCGGGGCCATGGTGTGGCGTGCCACGCTACCTCAGCGAGCAGCATCACTTGAAGGACAAGCGGTGAAATTCATCTGCTGGTAAACACGAGTGATCTGGTGTCCATGATCTCATCACATTAACTAAAACATGAGGATTCAATAAGGAGAGTGTCTAAATTATACCAAGCTATAATTATAGTTCCCAGCATCCTCGCTCAGGGTGCACCGTTATACTTTTCTTAAGCTGTGTTCCTTCCACTGGCTATATGATCCACCGCGGGACTCGAGGGAGGCACTGTATTGCTCTTGTGCACTCTGCGCT